CAGAATGAGCTTAAAAGTTATTTGCTAACTGTTGAATTTGTCAAGTCCCAATCTGATTCTTCTTTATTTATTTTACATAATTTTGGATTCACTGTTTATGATATAATCAGATTCGTCGGGTTCATCATGATATAATTGATGGTCTTTCCACTCATTTCTCTTTAAAGACCTTGGGCAACTCTATTATTTTTTGGGTGTTGAGGTTATCTCTTCTACTGCTGGTCTTTTTTTGTCACAACACAAGTACATCATGGATCGTTTAGAGGATGTTGGCATCCTAGACGGTAAAGGAGCTCCTACACCTATAACATCAACTACCATTTTGACAGCTTCAGTGAATGATCCTCCAGCTGATGGTACTCTTTATAGGCGGGTAATTGGAAAGTTGCACTACTTATCCTTTACGCGTCCTGACATTTCCTTCACAGTTAGAAAGCTCTCTCAATTTATGCAAAATCCACGTCACTCTTACTGGAAAGCAATCAAGCGATTACTTCGTTATCTTCGTCGCACCCGCCAATACGGCATATAGATTGTCAAAGCTCCATATTCTCGTTTGGTTGTTTATTCATATTCAGATTGGGCTAGTGATCAAAATGATTTTACTTCTACCTCTGGCTATTCAGATTGGGCTAGTGATCAAAATGATTCACACCAATTTCATGGTCCTTCAAGAAACAACACTCAATATCTTGATCCTCTACAGAAGCTGGTATAGAGTTGTAAAGCATGTCGCCATTGATTTCATGGGCCTTCAAGAAACAACGCTCAATTTCACGGGTTTTTTGTGACAACATCAGCACCACTTACATTTGTTCCAATCATGTCTTTCATAGTTGGATGAAGCATGTCGCCATTGATTTTCACTTTGTTCGTGAATAAGTTCAGAACAAGGAAATTGAAGTTCACCAGCTTCACTCAAATGATCAAGTGACATACTCACAAAACCTCTTCCCAGAGCTTCTTTTGTCCAACAATTTTCCAAGTTGGATGTTGTTGACACCACCAACTTGCGGGGGGGCATAATAACGATCAAATTTAGTAGTGTCTTCTCTTTAAGATTCTACTGTAACTTTCTCCTAATATATAGGTCATAGATAAGTTAACATTTTTCTTAAGTTTATTTCTTTGCTATAGAAGTTGTACAGAATCTATATATACTTAGTTTACAATCAATAAAATGCATTGTTCCTTTCATTCTACTGGCAACTTATACTTTATAGGTTGAACTTCAAATTCCATTTGTGTTGAGGAAATTTGAGAAGAACATTTTTATGTTTTTCTATGTTTTCTGAAAATATTTTCTTATTGTACCCGGAAAAATATTCTATATAGTTTTTTCAAAAACTAATCATTTTCTTTTTTGTAATAGCTTTAAACTTAGCATGTTCATTAAGTATCACTCCATCAATTATTTTTCCTTTAAATTAGTAAATTTCAGGATAATGTACAAGTACCCCTCAATCTATGCCCGAAATTTTAGAGACACACTTATACTATACTAAGGTCCTATTACCGCCTAAACTTATTTTATTAATAATTTTCTACCTCTTTTTGGCCTATATGGCACTATCTTGTGGGACCAACGCTGGTTGACTTTTTTTTCAAGCGTTGGGTTATTGGGTTAAAATAAGAAATAGTTTTTTTAAAAAAAAAAATTGGGTCAATCCATCTAATGGAGGGTAAATTTGGTGAAATTAGTAATGATAGGGGTAAAATTAACTTCATTTTAATAGCGAGGGTAAATTTAAACAATGGAACAAAGTTTGTGGTATTTTTAAACCTTTTTTCTTAAATTAAATGTGAACTCAATAGAGCTATGCATTATATATTTTGATTTTAAAATTTTTGGTGTACTCATTTGTAAGAAAAGAATAATTAATTACTCAATGTTTGAATATCCTTCGTAAAATTTCTGACTATGTCACTGCTGGAAATTTATCGCAAAAAGGGGTCAAACTAAGCTTTCATTGAAAATGTTTCACATATAGCTAGTAATCTTTGAAAATCTAATCGAGTAAAAAAATTAACTTCCAAGGTCAATATCATTATTATTTTCTATTAAAAAATTATCGATCTCTAAGGTTGATTTTTAAACTATACAATAATATGCACCATCTCGAGTTTGAACCCCCCCCCCCCCTACTATGATAGGAAGCAATGGTGTAGTCACATGGTGGTTTGGGGTGTCCAATTGAACACCCTTCGTCGAAAAAAAATATTATATATACAAGTAACATATTACACGAAATGATTAACTAACATATTTTTAACACCTTTAACACATGATTTCACCTCCTTGAATTGAGATAGTACTCGTGTACGAATCTCATTAGTCGGTGTAATATTTTCCATTTTCTTGTTTATACTCAACAAATATATTTACTTTTGCAAACTATTAACCTCAGGAGGTCAATTTTGCTAAAACAAAATAATAAATTAAAATATTTCACATCTTTTTTTGGGTTTTGACCTTTTTTTGGTAGTGTTTATTTCCAATGCAAAAGCTAGAATAGACAAACTGATCACCCACAGGATCATTAGGAAGATAATATTGATGTAAAATCTTAGTTCAAGACTCCTTTAACACGATACTCCTTCGAAACACACACATGGGCATGCATTCTCTTATAGTTACAAAACATGCAAAGATCACTTCTCAAACATAAAATGAACTTGTTGCACAACATCACTATTCAGACTATATTTTGAAATTAACAAGATGTGAATTGTCATAACTCAAATTTTGGAAACCTGACGCTTTTTTATAATCATCATGAAGCTCATCATATCCAAAAGGCCTATCCAGAAGCACACATGAATTTGAAACCCCTATCTCATGGACTTAGAGTCTCACTAATGATCCGTGCGACACTTGGCAATTTACTCACTAATTTTTTAAGATCTTGTAAGCTCAATTAAGTTTTTAAGACTACGATCGCTAAAAGAATGTAAAGAAAGACTTGAGAAGATTGGAAGAAAGCTTTTATATTACTTGGAAGATTGCTTACAACTTGGATAAATGATTTATAAATAAGAGTCTCCCTATTTATACTACTTCTTAGGAGGCTAAAGTATAAATAAAAATTACTTTACAAGTCCCTACTTATTTACACTCTAAAATTGGCGAGATGTGACACATAACTCTCTAGAGATGAGGAATTTCTCGAATTTCCTTATGGATTCCACATAAACAGATGTCTTTCTTTAATAAAATGACAAATCCATACAAACATGTCTACTTGTAAGTTGAATGATATAGATGTCAAGTGAGATCAAATTATAAGGGCACGTTTATCTATTATGCCTTTTTTTCACAGACATGATAGTTTAAATATTGATTCTTGCAGAAGTAACGATGACTTCCCTGTGAGGTGTCATTCCATGAAATAGGTAAGTTTGTAAAAAAGAAGCTTCATTGGAATAATAATGCTAGTCTCATCTCATTTCAAGTACGTTATCATAATTTATAGCAACAAAATGACAATGAACCAGAAAAATGACAACAAAGTAGCGTTAGGACCTTAATGCAACTTTATATCTTTAGGAGCCAAAAACAAGAAACAGTAAAAACAGAGAAAAGACATCTTTCCTTCATCATTGCAATCCTTTCAGATAAGTAGTAGATTAGTTGTTCCTAGCATCAGCATTCACGTCCTGAAAGTTCAATAGTACCATATCAGTAAATAATTCTCACGCAAACATCACTTTCGTTAGAACTGATGTGTTATTTAAGCAAAGAGACAAGTTCCATTGTCAAAGTTGCTTCCGTTCAACTTTTAAGCAATGGACACAAAACAAACATAGCATTGTTAACTAATCTGGCGTCTAGATGAAAAATGATGCAACATCAAGCGGTTGTCATGCTGATCGTACTACATATTATGCTGCCAATAAAAGGGTAACGAGTTGAGTTAGAGCAACCAACTTAACCAATCAAGCTCCAGTAAATCTACTCGTCAAGAATTTGAACAACACATTGCAGGCCAATAAGTTGCTTGGTCTTCACTACATTTCTCTCCTGCTTCCTCAATTTCTAATCAACAACGACGTAAATCAACAAATTAAATCACAGTATAACTTAATGCATGTCTATTGAATTCTTGACATTGTTACTGACAAGGATTAGCTAATTTTTCCTCGTTATAGCTTGGCTACAATGACTTGGTTTGTTTTCAAAGTACCATGATAGATTGTTGATTGCACAACAAGTATTGATTAGAAATGCTTTAAACTGAGGTTTGCATCAATCAATTACTGATACATGAGCATCACACATATTTTCACTTTAATATGTGAAAGACGAACAGAATGTACAACACTTATTTGTTTTAAACTAGGAAGTCAGATTATAGATACTCGAGCACAAGAAAGAATTCAATATTGTAGGAAGGAAAAATATCTGTGAAGAAAACAGATGGAAAAAATTGTATTTCCGTTTATTTTACAATAGCCAGTGTCCTCATCCCCGCACCATTTTCTCCTACATTACCCTGTTTTTTGATACCCCACCGCACTGTCATGACAACAATAGCTAAATTTGCATCCTAAAATACTTTACCCTTGAAATTTACCACACTTAACATCGCTGCCAAAGTGAAAGACGATTCTGACTTTGATTGACCAATAAGTCAAAGAATGAGAAGATAGTCTAAAAGTCAAATTACAGCTAGGTATTAGAAGCACAAACAACTCCAAACTAATGCTGAAGATAACAAGAGATTTAATATTAGAAACAAGGTAAGTACCTACAGTGAACACTATGTCAAACCTTAAGGTTGCTCCAGAAGTCTTGTGTTTCCGCCTTTTCCCCTATTAAGTTACTAGTTTTTTTCTTGGCACCACAATTGGCGTACAATTAAGTTTTTCAGTCCTTCAAGCCTTATCGTGCTTACAAGAAAATGTCTCGCAGCAACAACATCCTAGCCTTACAAGAAAGAGATAAAACATTTGAGCCATTTTACAAAGTTAACGAAATACACTAAAACAAGTCGGACGACCTAACTGCTCCCTTTTGAAGGTTGGCTACCAAAATAAAAGCATGTTGAAGGCACCACACGAGGTGCATGAGATAGCTTTTCAAAAATATGACGGAGGCCGTCATGCTTAACCATGCATTCTAGTATGATATCCTCTGACACAGAACATGAAGTGTTCTCTTCATTCCTGGACAGTATTACATCTGAATGATATCTCTTTCTTGTTTGTTGTTCGATCTTGTCAACCTCCCATTTCGATGTCACTGGACAGTAAACATGAACAAATTTTGTCTGACCATTCCTGTATGCTCGATTGATGGCTTGCTGTTCTACCGAGGGATTCCAGAGAACGTCAAGCAAAACCACTCTTGAGGCCCCTATTAGACTTATCCCTTCTGAGCAGGCTTTTGTCGATGCAAGAAGCACTTTGACATCACTCTTAGGGTCATTAAGAGAATTTATTGATATCTGCCGCTGGTTTACATCAAGTTTCCCATCCTTATAGAGAATCTCTCGGCCTAAAGTCCAGCTAAAGAGAGAATTGAGCTGCTCCTTGATCAGGTTTAGAGGATCTAGTAACTGGCTAAATATTATAACCCTCTCCTTCAATCCACCACATAGTCTGATCAGTTCAATAACAAATTTCATTTTTACCCCAATATCAGGATCCAACCGACACCTTCTTTCCTTGAGCTGACTTTCTAACTCAGAGAACTCCTTCCTATTTGCCACTAATGAAGGATGAACAGAGATCAGAGACATCAGATTTTGTTCATAAAAGGATCCCGGATTCTCAGGAACTCTTTTAAGTAACTCCTCCTGCAATTCTGTGGGTTTCAAATGTATTACTGTATCCCGTATACCTGGAAGGCTTACGTTCTTTACATTTTCGCTACATTTATGGACAAGGGGTGAAAGAATGTCCCTAAGCTCTTCCAACGCTCGGGCATTCTTGTCAATTGAACTGCTAAGAGAAGCCCATTTCTGCTCCAAATCAGCAGCAAACTTTGGACTGACTACACAGAGAGTGTTGTACAGTTCTTTGATGTTATTCTGGAACGGAGTTCCAGAAAGAAGTATGCGCTTCTCTGTTTCAACCTTCTTCAGTGCTTTCCACACAAGGTTGTGCTCATTCCGAGCAGTGTGCCCCTCTTCAAGGACCAGCAGACTAGGAAACTTTAGGAGTATTTCTCAAAGCTCTTTGTTATAACCTTCTCCATCTTCACCTGTGAGAATCCTGAACAAATCGTAACTAATTCCCAAAACACTCTTACTTTTCGCCCAGGATTTCAGCTTCACCATCCGTATAAGATGTGGATTTTTTTTCGCAGCACCGGATAAACAGTGAAAGACACCAACAGTACCTTCATCTTCCTTTAAAGAGAAGTTCTTGCTGTTCAAATTGTGGAAGGGAATATCCATCGCCCATTTTTGGAACTCCGCTTCCCAGTTAAGAAGTAAATTTGACGGAGCTATGACTACTGGCCGACACTTCGGGAACAGCTTCAGATACGACTGAAGAAACACTATGGTCAGTCGTGTTTTTCCGGTGCTAGGTGGGTGTGAGATAATGCACCCTCCCTTACTATGCGATAGGGGCTCTCTCAACCTTTCAATCATTGTATCTCCAGCAATGTTGTTCCACATGAACTCGAACCCTCCACGTTGATGAGGATACATAGTATCTTTGGAACTTTGGGGAACCAAACCCACACGGTTCCTTCTCCAAAAACGGAAGAATCCTCAGTTGCTGAAGAATCAGGAACTCTGAAGCCGTCAACATCCAAGACTGATGGGGATTCTCCAAAGCGTTTTCTTTCGTACCTCCCTTGAGTTCTTCGAGCCTGCAGATGACACATAAATTGAAGAATTTAAGAGTAAAATAATAAATAAATTGGATGGAAGATGTATTTACAAAAATATTTGAAAAGAAAAGGGCTTGAAAGAACAAAACTCGTATACTTACAAAATCAGGGAAGATGTATTTCATCTCCAAATGGACATATGAACATACTGAACAGAAGAGTCCTATTTGTTCATCTAGCTTAAGCTTGTGGTTCCCCATTTGACATTCACTTAATTCTCCACTCTGCATCGGCGAAACTGATAGATTCGTAAATCCAATATTTGATTCCAAGATGCACATGTTCATCTCAGAGAAAAGATCTTCTATTTCCTTTTCCCATTCTTCTTTCTCAGGGGGAAGAGGTTCCTCGTCTTTAAATCGGAATACTAAAGGAAGTGTTTCTTTGACAGAAACATGTTCCTTCTCTTCTGAAGGAGGGAATTCCTTGCGATCATCGACATTTTTTATTGAATCAACAATGAATTTAAGAAATTCAGACTCTTCAAGAATCTTCTTTGGATTCTTTCGAAGAGCATCAGTTGAAGATTCGACTTCCGACTTAAAGTATGAGGTTGCATCAGGATCAGTCTCCTCATCCTCCTCCAACTCCTCCTCTTCCTCCTCCGCAACGATAACAACATCAGGATCATTGCCCTCCTCCTCCTCAACAATATCAACATCAACATCAGGATCAGGACCAGTCTCCTCCGATGACGAATCATCATCATCAGATACTTCCTCAACGAAACTCTGCTTTGTTAAGTACTCAGAATTTCCTTGACTGAACTTCCTCCTCCCATTGTTTTCCACTCCAGAAGTCTCCATCTTTTTCCTTTTCCTTCCATTCGTAGAATCCCCACTTTGACTCAACTCCTTCCTCTTTTCAACAATCTCCACCATATGTTTTAGAGATTGTTGTCTAGTTCTCCTCTTTGAAACAGAGTCGTCCCCTGAATCCATCTTCCTCACCTGAATCAAAAGTACATCTTTTGTCATTAATCAAAATTTAAAAAAAATACCATATACAAAAACTAAACTAAACTGCATTTACAAATACCATTTTCTACCAGAAAATCAAAAATAGATCGCTACTTTAAAAGAAAAACAGAGTAATATACAGTTATGAATGAATTGAATGCATAGACACACACAGCTATATATAGAGAGTAAGAGCACAAACAAAGCGTGAGTTAAGAGAAAGGCCTTTTAGCGTGACAGAAAAAACTTAAGTAAAGTGCGTGCATTTTGTGATACAATATTCCAAACGATGTAAAGCGTGAATGTTAACTCTTCCAACTGAGTCACATGAATTGTCAATAAAGAATTGTCTTTCTTTAGAAAAGATATTTTGGGAAAAAAAATAATGGTTTTTTTGTTTCCACTTCAATTTAATTAGTGAATTTTTTTTAAAAAATTATAGTTTTAACTCATATCCTTTTGTTAAATATTGTCGCTCTTATTTGTGTAAATTTTTATAATTATTTCGAGTAAAAAATTGACGATCGATTAAGAAAAATATTTCATTTATGGACATCATCATCTGCGACTCCCTCATATTAGGTTTTTGGCGAAAAAAAAAAAGAATGAGATTGATGATTATAGACCACTGATCTAAAAGGTTTCGGGTTTGTTTATAACCCTCGAAAAAGTAAATTAGTAACGATACAACTTTGAAAAATAATTGTTCATCATAACAACCAAACCTATTTTGATATGAACTATAAAGAGAAACCATTACAGCACAACTGACGAAAACCACTAATGATCATTAGACCATTAAATAAAAACTTTTTCGTTGCAGATCGTAATATTGCGACATTGCAAGCATATCTCACTAAATCGCTCACTATAATAAGAAGATAAAAACAAAGACTTACAGTAAAGGAACCAACCATTAAAACCTCAATTTAAACACTTAGAAAATGATATTCAATATAACTCGCCGGTGTGGTAGTAGTGACAGTGAATCAATGAGAGATAACACATCTTTGAAATATTTTTGTGAAATTCTTATGTCAACTATAAAATGATTGTAAATCCTAAAGGCTAAATGTGTCTAAGGCCTTAACTCATATAAATGTAATTGATTAAACTTCTAATCGAATTATCTGGCACCGAATTAAAAATATGGCTGAATCAAAATTCTAACCGATAAGCCGATTAGAAGTTTATGGTAAACTGAGATTCAAACTGTTAAGCCATTAACATGAACTGTTGATCCAAATAATATCGGTTCGGATTCTCGATTTCGATTTTGAACAACCCTAATAACGGGTGGTAGGCCATAAAATGATTTCACTTGACAACGTCTTCTGAGTCATGTTCTTTGCACCGAAAGCCTAATACAATTAATATTTTTGGTGTGATTGGTGATTTACTGCATAAAAATGAGTTTATATAGTTCGTATATGAAGAATAGCGGGGTGGGTGACCAATAGTGTGAAACTCTATTCTGACCAAAATTTCATAATTCAAAATTAATTACAAAGGCTATTATTGCATGTTTGGTATTTGCGTAGGTAATAAATTTTGATTTTATAAACCCTAGTATTTGTATAATATACAATTATCTAACCGATATACATATACAATTCACCTTTCTCCCACTATTTTCCCTCTCTCGCATCTCTCTTCTATCTCAGAGTCTCGCTCGCCTCTATCCTCCATATAACATGTAGCTGTGAATTGTAATTATCAAACTATAGAGAGCAATTAGATTTTATTTAAGTGGATATATGCGGAAGTTTCCCTTTATATATCATGAAAAGCTCATTTGGGCAGATTAATAAGCTTCGTAATGACAAGCCTATTACAAAAAAGTCAACCTAATCAAGCGATAATTAGAGTTTGCGTCAAAAGCGAATAATAAGGGTTCAATTATAAATAAGAGAAAGTCAGAGACAATAACAATAGTATTTTGGAGTTAGCGCGTGGGATTTGGAAGTTTGAAAGAGATTTGCACCAAAAAGGCAAGAATCAACCGTACTAATTGAGGTATGTTGTTTGTTACAATCTGAAGTAATTGCAATTCATTTATGCTACATTACAATTGAAAGACTACATAAATGGGCCACAAAACATAAAGTAATTACAATTTTATAGTCCAACCCAAATTAATTCAGTAAATACTAGTGACCCAAAATATTAATCTCCATAAATTACAGCCTATGCCTCCTTTAGTTTAGGACGAATTTCTCTTCAATCCTTTTTAAATTTAGGCCCAATTTCACCTCCAACCTTTTAAAATGGGCAACTTTCACATATAGCAAACAAAAAATTCATATTTGTATGCTATAGCAAACTTTGCGTAATTGCGCTCCATAGCAAACATAAAACTGTATAATTTGCTATACATATACAATTGTATAATTCCCTGGCCTATTTCGCTGCAATTGTATAATTTGTTTTGCATACAGTTGAATCGAATTAAAATGTATGTATATTGCATAATTATAAGTGTATAGCAAGAAGATATATATTTTTCTCGCTTTATACAAAAACAGAAACACAATATATACAATTCTGTTGTATAAAGGTAGAGAAAATTCTATTTCACTGCAATTGTATAATTCGCAATTGTATAATTCGTTGGCCTTTTTCTCTGCAATATTTGAAGTAAAATGTTTGTAAATTGTATAATTAAGTGTATAACACGAAGATATACATTTTTACATGTGTATATACAATTTTCTCTCGCTTTATACAAAACAGAAACAAAATTATACACTTCTGTGTATAAAGCGAGAGAGGCGAGCGAGAATGGAGAGTGGCGAGATGCTGGCAAATTTTAGCTAATGTTTGCTATGGAGCACAATTAAATCAAACCCTAGCTATTCCATTTAATTTAGGTGATTAGTTTGCTATTATATACAATTTTCCCTTTTAAAATTTAGGTTCAATTCACCCGACCCAATACTTTTATCCTATTATTAATAATTTTCATTTTTTTCTTATTTATTATTTATTTTATCATTAATACTTTATTCTTTCTCATTAATTATTTTATTTACTCTTTTATTCTTTCTCATTTATTATTTTTGTTTTTATTTCATCTTATATTTTAGTAGAGTTACAATTTGGTAAATTTTTTGTTTATTTATTTATTTTGGTTAGTTTATCTTCTTTTTATTTTTTCTCTATTTCTATATTTTTACCTTTTTAAGAAAATAAAATAAATTACTTGTGTTCTTTCCTTATTTATTATTTTTATTTTCTCTTTCATTCTTTTATCATTTATTATTTTTATTCTTGTTCATGTTATCCAATTGGGTAACAATTTTATTTTTACTTTTTTCTATATCATTTTTCATTTTATCCTTTATTAGAGATATCATTTGGTAATACTCATTATTTATCTCTTTGTTCTTCTTTTTTATTTTCTTTTTTTCCTTTATTAGAGATATATCACATTTTGATAATATATACTTTTATAGTATCATTTACTAATGAATAATTTATATCCAAGATACATAAATGATATCATGGTATATGTGTGTGTGTGTGTATATATATATATACTAGTTTCTGACAACGTGCGTTGCACGTTTATTTTTTACTATTGTTATATAATTTAAAATTGTGCTATCAAATAGAAAATGTTTAAATCAACAATATTAATTTTACCAATCATATTTCATGTATCAACAAAAATAAATAAAAAGGGATTGTGCATTTGACATCAAGCAAAAAGTATGTGAAATTAATTAATATAATATAGTCTCCTTTAACTTTGTATGAGTCTTTTTTATGATCTAAATATCAGTGATAACCTTTTATAGCCATAAATGGATATTAAAAATACATGCACACTTATTGATAAGATTGCCTATTTTATTTTAATGAGAAACGATAGAGTGAAATATTTATATTATTTAAGTAAGGTTCTAAAATTAAAAGACAGTACTATCAAAATTATACAAGATTAAAAGTAATTACATTTAAAATATAAATTGACAGATATATATAATTTAAACACTGAACTTCATACATACATCTATTTCAAAAGCTCATAATAATACCTAAAATATTACAACACCACAATGAGTTTATAGAAATGCAAAAGAAATTAGAAACAACAATAATCTTCGTGATGGAGAATATATATAGAAAGAGATATGAGGACTTAGGCATGTCTAAAAAGAAGTCTTCAAGTTCTTCTCTCCACCTCATGTATTCTATTTTTTCATGTCTTTTTGACCTATCATAGATGAAATAGTTTTTTGATTATCAGTTGAATGACAATTTCTTTCATTTTTCAATAGTTATCACCTAGTTCTTAAATAGTAGTGAAAATGTCTGTTTAAATTCTATATTTTTCAATTCTAAATAATAGTCTTTAATATATAGATAGATGGAGAGATTTACTGTCTTACATCCCATATTCTGTGACAGTCTTGGCTAATTAGAGTCAATTAAAGCTAAATTGGATCAATTTAACTCACTACTATAAAATTAAAATATAAATATTTGAAAAATTATACAAGAAGTAACATATTAATTAAAGTTCATATGATTTAATATTCAAGAAATGAAAAATATCAGACTAATTGAAGCGGAGAAACTATACCTTTTCAAGTTTCTGTGAATTATTAGAACAATTTAGTATTTGATATAGTAACATTCTTCTATTCTTCCTACCAGATTATTGTGAAAGCTCTTGTGAATCTTGTTCTGCAATCAAATAGGTTTTACAATTGTAATAAGAAGAAAACATGAATAATGATGAAATATGAAAAAAGTAATGAAAATTATAAACCCAACACACATTCAATATGAGTTGTAGAGGAAAAATTCATTTATAAATCAATAGAGAAATAGTAGCAGTTACATGAAACTTTCACACTTCTTCCATAAAGTTTGTAACCATCAATTGTGGGTTCAGTTTTGTTTTGATAGAAACTTTTAGTATTCTTCAATAAGGTGCTATTAAAATATATTTTTAACCGATGCAGTTCTTAAGTTATAGGTCTTTTTTTGAAATTTATACAAATAAGATATAAAGCAAAATAATAGGAAGAACAATGAAAAAAAAGAAGAGAAACTAAATAAATAAAAAACCTAGCTTTTAAGAGAGTGTATTTATATTTTTTCCATAAATATATAAGAATATTGTTTAATAGAAAATAATAGTATTTATTTATAATAAATGTGTACATTTTTGTTCATCAATATAATGACATTATAAGGACATTTTGGTAATTCAACTTTTGACTTGGAGGCTTCCCACTTATAATATAATATGATTAGCTAAATAAGATTATTGGGAAGCCCCCTATATCAAACAATAACCCTAGCAAGTGCTCCACCTAGGTGTTATTGTCGCATTTCACCTGCCATGGAATGCACTGTTAACTTCTCTGATGTCTAAGATGGACCTTGGTGCAACTTAAGCAGTACATGGTCTACTATAAATACCAAAAAGAATTAAAAAGCAAAGAATAAATTACAAGCATCAATCATTCTTGTCCAATATTTTATGCTACAAAAATTGGCAAATTAAGCAGATTTAGAGCTGGATATCAAGTAGAAACAACCCCCTCCTCTCTAGCTCCACTAAATCTAACTCAGAAAGAAATTACACATTTTGGCTTCATTCCCTTTTTTCTCCTTCATATCATTTCACTAATGCACAGCAATAAGCTATCTCAATTTAATGGGTCACAAAGGACACAAATCAACAAAATGAACCTCAATTAAGTTGATATGCAAGTCTATCAAATTATTGGCATTATTTTCTTTACAAGGACTGGCTAATTTTCTTCCTATAGCTTGGGTAATTGACATTGATCAATTTTTAGATGCTTCGTTATAGGTTGGTTATAGGATAACAAGTGGATGTTTGAACTTAGAATTTTTTTAAGCCAGGCTTTTATCTCTCACTTGGTGATAAATAACCTCGCACATATTTGAACTTTAATATTGTAAAATATATCGCAGAACATAGAAAAGTTATTTTCTTAAAGTCGAGATTAGATAATGTGAACATGATAAAAGCATTAACTATTGTATGAAGAATTGATGTTCAAAGTAACAACAATGACAAAATTGTATTTGCATCTAATTATGACTAGAGGGGACCTTCTTAAATAAATCAAATTCCAGTATCTTCTCCTAATTTACCCTATCCGTTGGTACCCCGCCGCATTCTCATGACCACAACAGCTAAAGTCACTTCCTACAATGCTCAACCATGCAATGTGACATTGCTAAGTCTCAAAGTTACTTTTTGATGAAGATCTCAACAACGTTACTGCCAGAGTGGATGTTGATTCAGTCTTTGACTGACCAAATAAGTAAGGAATGAGAAGATAGTCGAAAAAACTCCAAGCTGGTGCAGAAGAAGATAAGAAAGTAATATCTCGTTCTATATTTGAAAGGAAACAGAGTATAACAACACTTGAGGAATATACAGAGAAGTCTTACTACTAATCAGATAATTGTCCTCATCAGAGCTATTTCAACCTCCTCCTCTGTTGCATCCTTGATTTCTTCCGTTGAAAGAAAGGCCAAACTAGGCTTTCTATATAGATGCTTGCCTCATAATTATAGCCAGTAACCTCTAGATGAGGGCTTCAATGGGTGATTGAGTGATCCTTTGGATTATAAATCATGAAAGTTGAGCCAAAATGAAACAAAACTTCACCTTTATTTGACATGCAAAAGAATTGAAAAACTTATAACTCATCCTAGGATCACAAGGAATATCGATGGTAAACATCTTTATCCAAGATTCTTTAACCCCACACTCCTTCAAAACCCACACCTCAGCCTGAATTCTTCGATAATTACAAAACACTGAAAGATCACTTCCCAAAACTCCCAGGGTCAAACCAAAATCTCCTTCTGCATAGTAAGGTTGCTCCACTTCTCCCCGTGTACTATCAGCCAAATCAACAGAAATGATATCCCAACCAGACCGACGATAAGCACTATTAGCCCAATGAAGTTTCCCATTCACAAACACACCCGACTCAGTTCCTAGCACCCCACTATCAAAATCCTCTAAACTTGTCCAAGAATCACTATTCAGACTATACATTTTAACCTTAACAAGAAATGAATAGCTGTAACCCTCATTATTACCCTACCACTACCTTATAATCCCCATGAACCTCATCATATCCAAAACCATACAAGAAATGGTGACCAAAGCAAAATTCATCTCTACATTCAGGCAATTTCTTGAATTTCCTAATGGATGGATTCCAGATTAAAAAGTATTTTTTCGCAATGACAAGACATATTAACCCATGGACTGAACCCACAACCTCAACAGATCTACGGATTTCTTTTGTAGGATACTCCAAATCCAATGCCTCAGCAGCAGAGTCATAAAGCAAAGAACTAGCAGAACAGTCCTTAAGATTATACTTAGGTAGAGAAATAGTCAGCATAAACCTATGATGAGTGAAATCCTTGTTATTTGCAGATTTGCTGAGATGGGTGTTGATAAATTCAGGGTTTGAGATTAAACCAAGCCAAGATTTTGAAACTGACCTGAATTTCAAAAGGGATTTCACCGGAAGCCGTAACAGGATTTGAGTGACGACCTCTTCTGGCAGAACAGGGATTCTGTTAAAGATTGAATCTTTAACTGAAGAGGAAGGCAATTGAGCAGAGTTACGGGTTTTTTTTCGCTTTGAGTGTAGATTGGAAGCTTCATTTCTCTTAGATTCCATTAGGATTTCAAGAAGTCTGTCTTCTCGGGAGGTTTTTGATGTTTATAAGGTTTTAAAGGGAAGGCGGGAGGATTTTCCATTTTCCCTCCTTGTGTTGAAATTTTTTAAGAAGCGACGTCGTTTTCGCATGCTTAAGGAATTACTTATGTAAGGGGTCGTGTTTAATTGGGAACAAGATCCCTATATAACTTATCTTACTATGTATATGAGAAAACTTATTTCATTAATATGATATAAATTGTGGCATAAATTATCTCAAACATAATAATCTAAAAAGATACAATAATTTATTCTATGACTATTTTTATATTCATTAATATTTATTTTTACTCCTCACACCAGATGACCCATCGAATTGATAGCCATGCATACAATTGGTTTGAACTTGAGTTAAAGGTCATATGAAACAACCTTTCTTACTTTTATGAGATGGAATAAGATTTGTATATATTTTATTCTACCTAAATTTTATTTATAGGATTTCACTAGGTATTTATTATTGTTGTTGTAACAAGTCATGCATAGGGTTGACTCTTCGACCCAAAATAATTTTTCTTTTACCCAAAATGATTTTTATTCTAGCCGTTTTAATTTATGTAATATAGTTTGATTTGACACGATATTTAATAAAAAAATTATTATTCCCTTCGTTCCAAGCTTGTGTCTAAAATAAACTATAATTATTTATGTCATTATAAATAATTTCATTCAGAGATAAAATAAATATTTTAAAATAAAATTGTTATCTATCAAAAGAAAAATTATTAATTGTAGTTAAAAGGGTAAAAAAAACATACATATATTATCTCATTTTTTAAAAAAAAACATATTATTTTGTTTTAATAAATTGTCCCTGGGGTCTTTGATTTAAAAATGAGTTCTCTATTCAAATTATCATCTAATAGTTAGCGAAACGAAACTCAAGTAATTTCTCATAATATGTATAAACTTTCTCTTTTGTTTAAGAGTTCTGTCACACAACAGTACTCTGTGGAAAAATAATTTCATCCTAGAAAATCTAAATAAATCAATAAGGCTAAAGTTAAACTATCATCATATAAATTAGGAAAATTACATAAGTACCTTTTCCATAATGACCAAAATTCTAGAGACACATCTAAACTTTACTAGTGTTATATTACCCCCTAAACTAATTTAAGATGAAATAAGTACACCGTAAATGCTGACATGTCATAGAGTGTGCGCACATTCTTTTGAAGGCAAGTAATAAGTGCACAATTTGGACACATGTCATTTTTTAATTGTTAACTTTATAACTGTCACGACCCAAATCGAGCCGCGAGTGACACCCACACTTATCCTACTATGTGAGCGAACCAACCAATCTAAACCCCAACATTTCAATACAATATAAACGGGAAAGTAATGCGGAAGACTTAAACTCATTAATAAAAATCGATTAAATAACTTCTAAAACTCAATACTTATTATTCCCAAAATCTGGAAGTCATCACCACAAGAACATCTATCCTCAAATTACTAAATCTAAGAGTATCTAGGAAGCTAGAATAAATAAAAAGCTAGTCCATGCCGAAACTTCAAGGCATCAAGACATGAAGGAGAAGATCCAGTCCAAGCTAGAAGCATTAGCTCACCCTGAAATCTGGTGCGATGAAGACTGGCTAGAGTTGCGGTTGAGTTGAAGACGACGGTACGTTTGCTGCACTCCACAAATAACTAAGAAAGAAACATACAAGTAGGGGCCAGTACAAAACACAAGTACTGAGTAGGTATCATCAGCCAACTCAAAATAGAAAACAGTATATATCAGATAATATCATAAAATCAACTACAATGCTCAACAGGTGATAACAACAATTACCATGACCCTTGGTCACAACACCAAGCACATCTATGAGGACTCAAGCCTCCACACCATACTCATTTGGGAAACAGGTTCTTTAGATTGAGTATATTAGCATATTTCAAGATTCATTCTCTTTACTATCCTGGTGTCGGAACGTGACACTCCGATCCTCATCATACTATCCTGGTGTCGGAACGTGACACCCGATCTATATACTATCCTGGTGTCGGAATGTGACACTCTGGTCCATATTCTATCCTGGTGCCGGAACGTGACACCTGATCCATATAATATCCTGGTGCCGGAACGTGACATCCGATCCTCTATTACTATCCTGGTGCCGGAACGTGACACCCGATCCTCTAACCTCATTCTTTTAGTTCATCAAGCCTTCTTTTATACCAAGGCATCATCATTAACAAAGAGGTTTTCAAGATTTAGGATTCAATAGCCTCATCATGCTTATTTTATCACAATTATATAATCACATCATGCAAACACACAATTAAGCATATAGAAGGGTTTACAATACTACCCAATACATATCATTCGCTATGAAATAGCATAAACCATAACCTACCTCAACCGAAGAATTGTGATCAAACAATCTAATTCTCCAAAATCTTTGCTATCCTCTTCGTTTCCCTCTTCTTTCTATCGTTCTCCCTCTCTTTCTGTTCTTTCTCTTTTTCTTATTCAAACCTTTTTTCTTTTACCCTAATTAGCATATAATTAAGTATAAAAGATGATAAAATAACCCACTATTTGATTCAAGGTTATCTTTTTTAACCCCCAGTAATTGAATTATTAACATTAACCCAATAACTTTATAATTATAAACATGAATAGTCCAAAACGCCCCTTAAAACATTTAACAGAAATCCGACCCAGTCAGGGTCACGCAGCCTGTGACGGCCCGTCGTGCCTGCGACGGTCCGTCCTGGTACCTTCGTCACAAAGTTCAGAGATTAAATTTCACTAAAGGGTCTGTGACGGCCCGTCATGCCTGTGACGGTCCGTCCTGCCATTCCGTCACGAAGTTCAGAGAGTCGATCTCAGTACCCAATTTTCAGAATTTTAAGTGTTTTGGAACGAGACCCCCTCGACGGTCCGTCGTGCCCATGATAGTCCGTCGTGGGATCTGTCGACTCAGACAGTTTTTACCAGAAAATACTCTACTGCTCAAAACGACTAAACAGGTCCTTACAATAGATACCAATTTACCCATCGTTCGTCCTCGAACGATCACAAGAAGAAAAACAAGGGCGAAAAGGAGTACCTGAATCTGTAAACAGATGTGGGTATCTTTCTTGCATATCAGTCTCCTTCTCCCAAGTGGACTCTTCAACCGGCCGATTCTTCCATTGGACCTTGATGGATGCAATCTCCCTTGACCTCAACTTGCGAACTTCTCTATCTAAAATAGCGACAGGCTCCTCCTCATAAGACAAATTCTCATCAAGCAGAACTGAATCCCAACGGATGATGTAGTTTCCATCTCCATGGTATCTTTTCAACATAGACACATGAAATACCGAATGCACTCCTGACAGTCCTGGGGGCAAGGCTAATTCATAAGCTACCTCCCCCACACGCTTCAGAACTTCAAAGGGACCAATATACCTCGGACTAAGCTTACCTAGCTTACCAAACCACATCACCCCTTTCATAGGCGAAACCTTCAGCAAAACTTGCTCACCCTCCATAAACTCCAAGTCCCTAACCTTTCGATCTGCATATTCTTTTTGTCTACTTTGAGCCGCTAAAAGCTTTTCTTGAATGCATTTCACTTTATCTAACGATTCCCTCAGAAGGTCAGTACCCCAAGGTCTGACCTCAAATGCATCAAACCACCCAACGGGAGATCTACATCTTCTCCCATACAGTGCCTCAAATGGGGCCATATCAATAGTTGAGTGATAACTATTATTGTATGAAAACTCTGCTAAAGGTAAGAAATTATCCCAATGGCCACCAAATTCTATCACACACGCACGAAGCATATCCTCCAACACTTGAATCGTTCGCTCAGACTGACCATCGGTCTGAGGGTGAAATGCGGTACTAAGATCCAACCTAGTACCTAATTTAGCATGCAATGTTTTCCAAAACTTAGAAGTAAACTGCGTACCTCTATCTGATATGATGGAAAGTGGAACTCCATGCAATCGAACAATTTCTGAGATGTAAAGTTTGGCTAACTTCTCTGCATTGTAAGTCACCTTGACCGGAATGAAGTGAGCATACTTAGTTAACCTATCAACAATTACCCAAATGGAGTCATACTTACCCATTGTCTTGGGAAGACCAACCACGAAGTCTATTGCAATTCTCTCCCACTTCCATTCAGGAATGGGCATTCTTTGAAGTGTCCCTCCAGGCCTCTGGTGTTCATACTTTACTTGCTGACAATTCGGGCATTGAGCAACAAACTCAACAATGTCACGCTTCATTCTACTCCACCAAAAATGTTGCTTTAGGTTGCGATACATCTTGGTTGCACCAGGATGTATAGAATACCTTGAACTATGAGCCTCTGTAAGAATAGTGTGAATCAAATCATCGACGCGGGGTACACATACCCTTCCCTTAATTCTCAAAACACCTTCCTCATCGATTTGTGCTTCCTTAGCCTCTCCTCGCAACACCTTATCTCGAATTCGAATCAGCTTCTCATCATTAAACTGCTTTTCCTTAATCTTGTCAAGAAAGGAAGATCTTACCTCCACACAGGCCAAAAATCCTCCCTTCTCATTTACTTCTAGTCTCACCAAGTCATTAGCCAGAGTCTGAACCTCTCTAGCCAATGGGCGTCTGGAAACCTGTAAGTGATCTAGGCTTCCCATGCTCCCTGCTTTTCTACTTAAGGCGTCTGCCACAACATTAGCCTTTCCTGGGTGATACAAGATAGTAATATCGTAGTCCTTCAGTAGTTCCATCCATCTCCTCTGTCTCAGATTCAAATCTTGCTGAGTAAAGACATACTGTAGGCTACGATGATCCGTATAGACTTCACACTTAACCCCATATAGATAGTGTCTCCATTGCTTTAATGCAAACACTACCGCAGCCAACTCCAAATCATGGGTCGGATAGTTACGTTCATGCACTTTTAATTGCCTCGAAGCATAAGCAATTACATTCTTCTCTTGCATTAGCACTGCACCCAAACCAGAATAAGATGCATCACAATAAACAATGAAGTTCTTGCCTTCCACTGGCAAGGTAAGAATTGGT